TTTAAATAGTTTATAGTAATGTTCGTTTCGATTATCGTATATAAATACAGATTGTATAATGATTTTAAAGTTTAATTTTCAACTTGCGAACTTTTTCATTGTTGACAAAAAATATCTCAAGGATTCACGATTTAACATTTAATGAATATACAGAGTATATGAAAAATTATATTTGGAAAAAATACATAATACTACAAGTCAGGAAAAAATTAAATTTTATGGTCCTGGAAAATCTGAAAAAAGTCAGGGATTTTTTTCATTTTGAGTTTCTGCTGGACATTCCTGTCATCGAAAATGCCTCGCCAAAGACATTCAGAGAATAATCTCACAGTCTCGTTTATCTTTTATTACGAATGTTAATTATATACAATTCGATCGAGGTGTCGCAAAAATAACATTCGAAAAGAAACATCTTGATTTAAATTAAGTGATAAATATAAGGCCAACTTATCGAGCTGAATATTCGAGATGTTCAGTCAACTACCATTTATTACATGTATAAATTATAAAACTACAGTCATTATATTAAAACTAACGCAAATTACAATCATTCTATAAACGTTTCGACCGCACGCGGTCTTCTTCAGTATAATTATTGAAATATAAATTCTTACAATTCACATAATATCGAAATTTAATTATAGTTATTCAGAATCAAGAGTTTTTGAGAATTAACGCGTGTTTCAATCCGTCCTGTCAAACAATGTTCGCCTCGATATGATCCCTGATTTTGTTCAGATCTCGGATAGTTTCATCGTTAATATGCGAGAAATTAACCCGTTCCGTAGGCGCTGCGATTTATAAAAATTACCGATCAACGCATGTCCAAATTATAATATGTATCCCCTACAATTGGTAGTATGCTTACCTATCTCGTTCTTCTTGATATTTTGCTACTTATTAACAGTTATTAAGGATGACACATAACAAACCAACAATACAGAAAGACAGCTCATTTTAAACTCTACTTGATCGGAGAGCGTGCGGTGTTATATATGATCTAATATCTATGTTTTACTCGTTAATGTCCTATTTGTCCTATTATTATCTTTGTATTAACGATGAAATATATCCGAGATCTGAACAAATCAGGGATCATATCGAGG